CAGGGAGAACCCCTTGGTCTTGAGCCACCACTGTAGGGGTCTCATGTACAGCAGGCCAAGAGGTATCACGTTGGACGCCGCTGCCATCAGACCCAGCAGCTTTTGAAACTGCTTGACAGTGAGTGACCGGCCTTCTCTGACTCCCACGACTGCAGTGAGGATCGACTCGATCCGAGCAGGAGATAAACGTGCCTGCGTCGTGGTCGAATCCCACACCACGCCGGCGGCGGAGCGCCGAACTGAATGCGATAGCCTCTTTCTACAGTCTGCAGGACCCAATAAGATACATTTGGATGAGGTACATGAGATACAGTAGTTTCCACGCTGCTAAATAATCTACTAAGGGAACCAGTCTCTCGAGACTGGCCTCTGGTGTCTTTGGAGCTGCTAGCTGGGTGCCCTGAAGCGGCGGACCGGCAGGAGATCGCCGAACTAGCTGCTTGAGAGACCCCCGAAGGGGTGGCGATGCTCTTGGCTCCGCTACGTTTCCGGGCGGAAAATACCTAGAGAAACCTTCGCTGGAGACCGCTGCACCCTGGCACACTGGCAGGGTTGGCAGAACGGTTTTCTGAGGGTGCTGAGGAGGGACGGACACCGTGTAATGCGGTGTACCCCACTCTTCCCCAGTAGGGCACAGTCTGTAACGCGATCTGCTTTCGCCCTTTTTTGTCTTTTGCTTAGACATCTTTTTTCCTTTTTTTCTGCTGGAGCTTATATTTTGAATGCTTGTGCACTTTTTTTTTTTTTTTTGGACAGACAACAATAAATAAGACTCAGAGAACATAAATCGTGACCGACACACACAGAGAGCTTTGCTGAATGACAGAAAGCTAGCGCCGGCTGCACCTCACGTGCTTTTAAAGCTTCCTGGTCATGACGTTACCCGCCGCTGACGTCTCGCCCATCGTTCGACTGATTACACATATGATTCAGAGCTTGGTATCGCTGAAGGCGTTCCCCTAGCGTTTTCCGACGCAGCTCGAGTTCCCGAAGGGGAACTCCGGTTGCAGTGTTATCGTGTAGACAGCAAAACCAGAGTTCTTGGCTTGTGACGTTGGAGCCTGCGCTGTTATCTCCGCCTACTGGAAACTTTATCAGGCTTCTGATTGGCCAACATGGTTTTACGGTTGAGATTATATCGCCACCTGTTGGCTTGGCATGCTCTTAGCATGCATTTGCGTTTTCATGTGGACGGAGATTTTTTTTTTTTAAACGGAAGAAGGAAAAACTCAATATTTACTATTATAATAATTATAATTACTATCCTATAATTTACTAGTATTATAGGAAATACTAAAAATATCCGTGTACGTGTGGACATGACCTCAGTCTTAAGGACTGTAAAGTGCCTGTTTTTTTAAACGTGTTTTTCAACCTTCTTTGCTTTCAATATTTGGAGGGATCAACTATACGTAGATAACACTTTTGCATCCTTTACTCAACTTCAAAAGAAATTTGACTTACCCAGCTCTCTTTAATTTAAATATTTTCAAATATGCTACTTTATTCGCAAACCGTTAACTAATTTCCCCTTGCTTCCACTTCAGAATATTCTTGAGGGTATATTAGAATATCGCAAATCCATGAAGGGGGTGATCTCTAAGATTTATCTTGTAATTAATACATAACAGTCCCCCTCAGTGGCTCCATTGAGGAAACTTTGCGAGGAGGAGCTAAATCTGTTACTTGAGGAAAATGTTTGGGACTCAATCCTTGCTCAAATGCACACATCATCATCATCATCATCATCATCATCGATTAATGCCAGGCATACTCTCATTCAATTGAAGGTATAGTGCATAGAACTCATAGGTCCAGAACTAAACGTAACAAATTATTTTCTGATATTGACCCAACCTGCCTTCATTGCTTCATTGCAACTGAACCAGAAACTTTATTACACTCTTTTTGATCGTGTCCCAAAATGTCTGACTTCTGGGGGAAAGTGTTTAGGTGTTTCTCGTATATCTTTTCTTTACCAATGAACCCTAACTCCATCGTTTGGTGTTCAACCAGAATCTGTCAAGTTAACCGCACTGCAGTCTTTTTTTTTTTTTTTAGTTTGTTCTGTGTGCATAATTATTAATGCCTGACATTTTATTGTTATTATTATTATGTGAATATCTATCTTCTTTCTGTATATTTTGTCATTGTTGCTTTTTAATTATCCTGTGATGACTATTTGGAATATGTGTTTAATAATAATAATAATAATAATATAATAATAAAGTTTTTAATTGTAAAATAAATTGCTTTTAAAAGTCAAAGTCTCTCTCTCACTCAACACTGTTGTGAAATAAGTTGCCTACGTATTTTTTTATAGCTTAATTAATTAAGATATAGTTGATAGCTCATTATATACCTTATTTGGCTATGTTCTTTTCATTTATTGAGACCTCAAGCGTATAGTTTATGCATATTTGTTTAAATGTTCACATGATTGTTCACATGATGTATTTTGTATTGTTTACATGACTGATGCACGTTCTCTTAGCCTAATTACCATGTTGCACTGCGTGTCTTTTTGTCTTCAGTGTATCAACTTACAATGATTTAATTGCTTGTTAAATGAAAAAAACAAACAAATTATTTTTACCTACCTTATGTATTAGATTTAATGCGGGTCTGTCAAAATGGGTCGGGTCGGATATGGAATTAAATTAGTGCTACTGTTGGTGTTCTGTTAAGTACCATGGCGGGTTTACCAAACAGGACCTGTGCAGGACTCACAGGAATGACCACTGAAAAATATAATCAAAGTCTGCAGGATACTTGAAAACTACAAGCCAGGTGTACGGCCTCCAGCGCTGTAGTTGCACCACCCAGATTTAAACGTTTGTAATATGATGATGTAACGTCATAACAGATCATTATAACCTGCTTTTGGAGTTTCTGTATCTGATTCAGTCGTTTTTGTCTGTGTCAAGGTGGAGTTCACTTACTTGCCAAAAACATTTATCAAAACGGTATTTTGTGGGTGGACAAATCTCTCGCTACACTCTTCAAACAGACCAAAAGATGCCATGCCACTTCAGAGAGAAAAGCTCACATCTGATGGTAAGTTTAATTAATAGTCTTAGATAAATATGTTTTCATATGAAGTTGGCTATATACAGTGATCAGATCACCTGCTTTCATTTACAGAGCATACAATACAACACATTTCAATAACTCATTAAACTATTGTATTAATATTAGTGAGAATATTCTTGCCTTGTTTACATCTGTCTTTTTCCCTATTTGAAAAAACAGTTTAAGCTTTTTAGACCACTCAAAACAAGTTTCTGACAATCGTCAATAGTCTTACTTCCAATAGTTTCTGATAAAACTAACATGACTGAAGCAACAGATATATACATTTTAGATTAAATTTTTTATATCATTGTAACAAATCTTGATATTGATTATTAACACACATGGCGTGCTATATCATTAAACAGATTTAAGTGGCTAGCCAGGTATGTTTCAGTATAGTTTGTGCCAGCACTTCGTTTTAGGTACCATGATAGTGGATCGGCTTTTAGTGGTTTCTTCACTATAGTAGCTAGTCTAACCTGTTCCAGGACAGGTTTTGTTCTGGCTGAGAGATCTCAAACTGAAATTGGGCCAATCAGCTGTGAGCAAAGTAACACATCTCTGACACCATAAAGCCACTCCTTAAGTTTCTCTTGCACTAAAAGGTCACTTCACAGTACACGTTTTTAAAGACAAAATTGTTATTTTTTTGGAATGATGATTATTATTAGAATTATTTCATATGATTTATATATTATTTATATAATTATTATACCCTTAATCCATTACACATGAGCATTTTTATTTTAACAAGTATTATACAGATAATATGTAATATAAATAAGCTTTCGAATCAATAGATAAAGCTTTAAAATGACTACATGTGAGCTTCTATGTTCAAATCTCTGTCAACTATATAAACTAACTTCACGACTTTCACTTGCACTGATATAGCAAGATGTTTAGCAAGATTTTAGTTGTCCTCTTTCATAAACAACTTATTTCTTCTTGCTACATAAATGCATTTAGATTCTTCATATTAACGGGTGCTAAGAAGAGAGGGCATATAACTCCGGTGTTAATCAAACTGCATTGGTTACCCATATGATACAGAATTCATTACAGCATTTTGTTGTATGTTTTTAAGGCTCTGCATGGCCTAGCGCCTGAGTATGTTTCTGATTTAATCAGTCTCTGTCAATCCAGTAGATCTCTGCGCTCAAATGATCAATGGCTCCTTATGGTTCCGCGTTCTCGTTTAAAATACAAAGGTGATCGGGCATTCTCTGTTGCAGCTTCAGGCTCTGGAATGACCTTCCTCTGTCTGTAAAATCTTTTCCTACACTGGGTGTATTTCAGAGTGCACTTAAAACTTATTTGTTTTCTTTAGCATTTGAAAATGCTTTGTAAGCTGTGTATTTAATATGTCTGCATTGATTTTATGTTTTTATTTTCTCTTTTTCTGTACTGCACTTTGGTTCCACTCGTGGTGTTGAAAGTGCTTTATAAATAAAGTAGAGTTGAGCTGAGTTTATATTTTTCATGTTCACTGAGTTGACAGAGGAATGACGAGCAAGCAACAAAGCCTGATTGGTTTGGTTTTGTCAAATTGAAACTAATCCCATAACCCTGAGTTTGTTTAACTACCATCATGATACAGGCCTCAAATAAAAAAAAAAACACAAAAAAACAACAAAAAATCCCCTGCTTAATCTAACATTCCACACCTGTTCATTTTATGATCCCCCTGGAAGTGACAAACACAGCACAACACACCCTAGGCCAGGGGTCTTCAACAAAAATAGCTTGAACCCTCCTCACCAACCGAGGTCCGGACAGTTATATACCTAAAAACATGAATTGATGGTTTTTGTCAGACCAGGGTATCTGCAGGATATTTAAGCTCAAATTTAAGACTTTATGTCCTTTTTTAAGAAAATTAAAATGACTGTAAAAAGCATGATTTGCAGTTCAGACACAGGTTTTCACAAAAACAAAAAGTTTTATAAAATGATAAACTTCAGCATTTCAGTCTTTAAACCATTTTTTTTAAACAAAAATTGAGTCAAAACTATCAATTATTACATACATTTAAACAATTATTATCAGTCAATTATTATATTAATTATATAATATATAAATATATTTAGAGGTTTGGCACGACATGCAGCGGCACCGTCTCAGTCTCTGTCCTGCGCGGGGGAAATAATTATAATGCTGAAGGTGAGGTACTCATTCAGTTATTCATTAAATAACTTATAAAGTAATTTGAAAACCTTGTGTGAGACGTAATTTCACAAACAGCATGAGTGAATCACCACACGCTCTCTCCAAAATACGCAAATGGCTTCAAATCACCACACATCGTGTCTGTCTATATAAGCGAGCTGCACCCTGCACAGTTTACACAGGAATTGTCATTTGCACAATCGAGGCAGTGTCACATCGTCACTAAAGTTTATAAATTGCATTACTTTTAAATTCTTACCAGTGTTTAACCATTCAGCGCTTGCGCGCTCTCCTGGAGACAGTGTGCTCATGCACACTTGCAGCGCACACACATAATGCCAGGTTCACATTACTCCGTTTGCAGTGCGTATGTGGGGTGTATTTTTTCCGCGCTCATGTTAACAGATTAATAAAGCACGCACATGGTAGCAGTCCAGCAGTGCGTTCCACGAGTGGTGCGTTTGCAGCAGTGCAGAGATCGTTTCCGCACCGAGTCTATGTTTGCTTTAAAGCATTTTTTGCAGTAAATATGAACATGGATTGACACTAAAATGTAGTAATTACACCATAAATGCATATTATTAAAGTCTACTGTGTTTCACAGTCAACACATATGG